AGGGAGCCCGATGCGGGGCTCGATCCCAGGACCCTGGGATCACGACCTGAGCCGAAGGCAGACGCTTAACGACTGAGCCACCCAGGCGCCCCGGCCTATTCATATTCTTTTGCGTTTACATCTACCAGAAACTAATTCAATTCTTTTCATTCTGAACAATATTAGCAACCCTTGAAAGAGTCTTTCAGTAGTAGCTCTTGTCTGCTGACCTTTATTTAGGTTTTATATATTTTGAAAAATTGGCAGAGAATGAAAGTCTCACTGTGGGGCTTGAGGGCTGGGGGAGAAGGTATCATTCCATTTTATATTCTTCTCATCACCTAACATAATGATTAGAGCAGGGTAAATTATCCAGTGAATGTAACTTCCTACAACTGCAGTAGATGTAGGGTTGCTCAGTTTCCTTTCTTAGAAGGAGAATTGTGATCCTGTCTTGTCACTTTCTGACTTGAGACTTGGCAAAACCCTACTTCTCTAGGTATTGGTTTTCCCATATATAAAATGGAATAGTAATGGTCATCTTGGGGTTTTGTTTTCTTTTGGAGATAAATAAAATAATAAACTAGACCTAGTGATTGACAGTAAGTGCCCCCTGAATGTTAGGTGCTGTGATAAGTAGTACTACTGTTAAAACTGTTACTACTATGACTATGTTTATGTAAATATTGTTGTCATCATTTAATTTTATGAGATACTGCTTTAGATTTTTGAGTCATGGATTTTGAGGATCTGATAAAAATCTATCACCATAGAATACTGTACAAATACACAACATTTTAGACTCTTGCTCTGGGGATAATAGATACCACTTCAAATGGAAACAATAGAGGTGGTGAATATTGGAAAATAGCAACCAATCAATACACATTTATGTAATGACCACATAGAAATTAGTAAATTAATAGACCCTTCTGAAGTGAGCATTAGTATGCGAGAGGGTGTTTCTTAAAATGATGGGTTTTTTTTAATCATTTACAAATCACATAGTGTGTTGGTTAAACTGCAGGTTCCTGGGCCACACCTCAGGAAGATGGTTGGAGGATTATGGGACTTCTCGAACATACTGAAATTGAGATGGACAATTTAAGAGTAATGTTTAACGTATCTGTCATAGAAAGTTTATGGTTTTCTTAATTATTCATACATGTTCTACTTAGAGTTTCGGATATGAAGGATAGTATATCAAGGATCAAAATGTGGAATGTGAAAGAGAAGGGAAGTTATGTTGGTGGATGTTGGTGAATATAGACAAAATGAATGGTAAAGTCTTCTCTATCAAATTGTATTAAACGCCCTAGTTCTTTTACTACTGTAGGACTTTGAGCAAAATTTAACTAAACTCCTGCAATCCAATGTATCTTAATCTGGAAATGAGGATAATAAACATTTTTATTACAGCCCCGTTGAGAGGATTGAATGAGATAACATGTGTAACACAGAATAAGTCCTCAGTAAATGTTAGTTGATTAGAGTTCTTCATCATTATCATTTTAGTGGTTTGCAATATTGTCATTCTTAAGGTTCCCCTGCTTGTTTAATTCTCACCTACTGTTCAGGGCCAAAATGAGTTTCTCCCTTTTGAATTAAGTTTTCTCTATCATTTATTTCATGGTAATTATTATAATAATAATTCTGTGCTTCAGTGTCCTTCAGCAAGTAGCATATAATAGAGATGTTAATATCTACTTTTTTGTTAATTGATATAGAATACCGTTGATTTCTTTTATCTGCACAGGGTATTTCAGTTTTGCTTATAGGCTGTTTTATTTTAACTTAGGAACTGTCTTGTTTATCTCTCCTTATTCTACCTGATCAAGGTATTTTGGGGAGTCTGTTTACTCAGAAAGTTTCCTGTTTAAATTAAATGTTTCTGTCTAAATGAAACTGAATTTATAGGTTAAATTTGTTTCAAAAATAAGTATCTTACTCTGCATTTTAAAATATGATTTTTTAAAAGTTTTCCTGTTTTTTAAACAAATATTTGTTTTAAAATATTTACTTGTATTTCTTGAGCTTGACTAATCAAAAGCTGACTGCATAAGTATAGTTATGAGAGTTCAGACTATTTATTTTAAAATTGCATCCTTTCACCTCCTAAATGCTAAACTATGAAACCTAACACAAATACTGTAAGAACATCTGAGGCAGATAATTAAGGTATAATTAAGTTTAAATGCCTTGGTGAAGGAGTATAAAAATTATTTAAATTCAATCGGCTAGTACATTTGCAGTTTTCTTTTATTAGGTGTGAAATCTAAGAATCCCCTGCCAACTCTTGAGGGCTCAATCCAGAATGTTGAATTGAAGTACTGCAGCACATCATTGGTCAAATGTGCCTCTGGGACCATGGGATCAATAAAAATTTGTGCCAAAGCCCCAGGTATGTGCAGCTGGACCGTGTAAAACTTTATTGCCTGTATAGGAGAATTGGCCTTGCATTTTACAAGGAGCGTTACTGAAACAAGAATTTGCTCATTGTTCCTATGAATCAGAGGTTTTAAATTTTTTTATTTTTACTTTAAAATTTTTTTAATTGTGCCAGGATGATACTTCTTTAATAAATTAATTTTTATTTAAGGAAAAAATCTGCATAGTTATGAGAATGGTTATGAGGGAGAACAATTAAAAGTTTACTCTTATATTTTGGGGGGAAAATAGGAAGTATAGATATATATGACACTTAAAATTTAAATTAAAATGTTAGTATAATAAACAGATAACACAACTGTTTTTCAGTTTTTGTAATTGACTTCACCTTCCTGCCAATGCTTTATTTCATACTATTTTCCATAAACACTTGTAATCTAAGTGTTTTCAGTGCTCCTAAATTTCTAGGTAAATTTAAAGAGGTACAGATTTTGTCGAATATTTAGAATATAGTATGTTCAAGTTCTTTCCTTTTACAATCTCATCTGAACATGTTCTGCATTCATTAGCTAAATATTAAGACTTAATTTGTTAAGAGTTAAAAGTGCTTTTAATTTTATTAGTCATACTTTTTAGAATATAAATGTATAGCTAAAATGACCAAATATAACTGAATATTATGTTATGATAATATATTTTAAGATCAGGCATCCTCAAGCTACTCCAATATTTTTTTATAAGAATGTTTTCATTAATGTTTCTCTTCAGGTGACAGTGGAAAAGAGAAGTTGATTCCATTGCTTCAGGGTCCTTCTGACACTAAAGACCTTCATAGCAGCAAGTGGCTCAATGAGAGTAGAAAGCCAGAATCTCTCTTAGCTCCAGATTTGATAGCCTTCACAGTCCAAGTTCCACAGTATATGGACTACTGCCATAATTCCGGTGAGTACAAATTTATCATTATTCACTTACTTTGCATTTTCTTTTCCAGTAAAGCTTTTAAAAAGGACTTTTTTTTTTAAAACGAGTTTGTGTCCATTGGGATACTCTCTACAGTTGTGCTCATTGAAACTTCAAGTGAAATGTTTTTGTATCATTTTTGATAAGTGATGTGTTTATAAACAATAATAATTTTATCTTATATGAGAGATAATTCAGTTGTCAGTATAACAATCTTATATTCATATCTACTAAATCCAACTGATTTTTAAAACCTACCATATCGTGTAATAGGTAGAAAAGAGTAAAGGAAATTTAAAACATTGGAAAGAGAAAATACTTTTCCTTGGGATAGTAGCACTTTGTGACCCATCATTTGCCATATTAAAATTGGGTATTTGAGCCTTCTCTAGTTTTGCAGAAAGGAAGAAATGTTGATAGTGGAACCAAGAAAAAAATCTCAGAGGTCAAGATCCTATTTCTTAGAGTTATTTTTCTAGTAGTATTTTGCCTAGAATCTCTTTCATTTTATTCAACACCATAATAGCAAAGCCACACCTCTTGTGTTGAGAGGAGATACCAGGAGGATCAGTAAAGACTGGGATAAAAAAAGATATGCTAAGTAGAGACCATATCAGCCAATGGTTCGATTAGTCATTATATGGTTAGTAAAGGCAAAGTGGTAAAAGAGTCTAGAAATAAGATTGCTATATACAGATTTCTTAAAAGTGTGAAGGGTGCCATTTTTTTAAAGAAATTAAATGGCTAGTAATGAAGTGCTTTCAAATAGCTGCGTAAGAGTAGAGCTCTCTTAATATTTAACAAGTATTATAACTTACAGAAAATGTTAAGCATCACTGCACTAGGTTCAAAGGGGGAAACCATGAAAAGCTTTGTAATTAATTTACCAGAGTAAATGGAGGTGAATATTTGAAGCAGTGCACAAGGACATGAAAAATACTTGAAAGATGAATTTTGTTACAGTAGCATTTGCAGCTGAAAGGCATGCACATTAGAAACTAGAAATTAGTATTTGAAATGTGAGCCTTAGGATCCTCTGTCAACATGCTTCTAAAGACAGTACTCCTCAAAAAGAAGTTTCAGCCTGGTGAGAATTGGTATGGAACCCAAAGGAGAATGTGAGGATGAGGCCAAACCCAAACTAAGACTGTGCATATGGATGAAAGATTTTACCTATTTTTAAAGGCAGGGACTGGTAAACATTTTAATAAAGAACCAGATAACTAATATTTTAGGCTTTGTGGGCCATATTGTCTCTCTGTTAGCTATTGAGTTCAGCTAGTATAGCACAAAAATAGCTATAGATAAAATGCAAATGAATGGATAGGACTGTATTTCAATAAAACTTTATTCACAAAACAAGGGGTGGGCCAGATTTATTCTATGTCATTTACTTATGTTTTAGGGAGAAGGTATTGGTGGTTAAATAAACATCATGCTTTTTAAAATGCCTATTTAATCATGTTCCTTAAATATGCTATTTGATAAACTTCTTTATATAATTATCCATATAGTGGTTTTTTTTTTTTTTT